CTGTTAACTCTATCAATTGCCTGTCAATGGCTTCACATGTTTTGTGTGTGACAAGCTGTACAGTCCAGGGGGATTTTTTTTTTTACACAAATGAATTTTACTGGCTAAGAGCCATTATCCTACCTTAGTTCATATCAAACCTCTACAGGATGCAACCCACAACAGTTAATTAACACCCAGGTACCTACTTACTGCTAGGTGAACAGGGGCAGCAGGTGTAAGAAAACATGCCCAGTGTTTCCACCTATGCCAGGGATCAAACGATGGACACTGTATGTGAGCTGAGTGCACTGCCAACCAAGACACAGGACACCTAAGTTTTCACCTGTAGACAACAATATGTCAATTGGTGCAGTTGTGTGAATCCCAGCCTGCAGTCTCTTCTCATCTAGATAAATAGTTAATATAAATATTTGAGTTCCCTTGAAAACAATTGGGAGCATAACATTATGCCCTTAAGTACTTTTGATTTCTGTTTAACTCACAAATTACATTTGTTAAATTTTGATTATAAGTTAACAGTTTGTGGAATTAGTTTGATACATCATATGCACAATAAAGAAGTTCTACTTCACTTTTTGTATTAGTCCTGTTTGCACTAAAAGGTTAGCTTTCTAAAGCTCCATTAAAAAATGCAGTATACACAGCTTTCATAGATATCACTCGCCATGTAAATCTGTGGAACAGGTCCCCTCAAGGGAGGTTCCTTGACGCTGGTGAGGGGCTCCTGATCTAGGGAATTGGATCTGTGCTCCGCTTCCCTGGATTGAGCCTGAGTACCTTCCATCCCCCCCAGCATGCACTGTATAATCCTACGGGTTTAGTGCTTCCCTTTGATTATAATAATAATAATGTGGAGCAGGTAAAGCTTCTCTAGCTGTAGACATGACTTGTTCACTACAATGAGAATATCATCAGTTATGTTGTGCAAAATAAAAAGAGAGGTGAGAAGATGAGCTCACTACAGTATTGAAGTCAGAATGCTGGGGTACATATATCTTTCCATACACCTTTAGCTCATACAAGTGAAGGAATGGGCCCAGTTAATAATAATTCTTATTTCTACAAGTGCATGATACAGCTTATACAGACCTAGCTGACATCGGTGACATACTATACAGAAAGCCTCTGGTTATACAGAGCATTTCAGGCAACTTAGGTTAATTTTGTCTCCAGGATGTGACCCACACCAATCAGCTAACACCTGGGTACCTACTTACTGCTATGTGAACAGAGACAGGAGGTGTGTTAAGGAAACACACCCAATATTTCCTCCCATGAAAGGGGTCGAACCACAGGCACTGAATGCATAACCTGAGTGTGCTACCAACTGAGCTACCCACTGTTCCCAAGCAAGGAGTACCATACACCATTGGTCACAGTATTCTCTGCCTAAGAACACACTGTCTAGGAGCACAAAGTTGAAGAGGCAACAGAGATGCTTAGGATAGTCATGGATACTGTGTGGGTACTCACCTATTTGTGGTTGAAAGGGGTCGAGCCCTACCCTCCTGGCCCCGCCTCTTCCCCGGTTGCTTTAACCCCTCCTCTCCCTGCTCCATGGCTTTATAAAAACCTTTTGGGGTTTTTAAAAAGGTTTTGGTTCCTGCCTCCACTACGTCTTTTTTTTGGCAATTCCATTGCCTTACAACTCGGGGGACTGAAAAATTTATTCCTTACTATCTCTTGACTTTTTGTGTCTTCAATTTCCCAATTGTGGCCTCTTGTTTCTGGTCCCCTCCCTGGAACACCCTGTCCTTGTCCCCCTTGTCTATTCCCGCATTTTTATATGTCGTTTATCATGTTTTCCCCTGACCCCCCGTCCTCCGTGTCGTCAGGCCGATTTCCCTTAATCTTTTTTCATAGGACATTCCCCTTTGCTCTGGAACTTTTTGTTGCAAAACCCTTTTTACTTTTTTGTTTCTTGCGGCTTTTTCAAGTGCGGGTTCCAAACAGGTGCCCGGATACTCCAGAAAGGGCCTGAATTTCCGGGTTTTTACAGTGTCTTGGAAAAGATTCCTTACTAAGGGTTGGAATGCTGTTCTCAGGTTTTCCGGCGCCCCTTTTCGGCAGCAGTTTCGATTTTTTGTGTGCTTCCGGAGACATGTCGGTGTTTTATCACCCCAAAATTTTTTCCTTGGGGGAGGGTTTTCAGCTTTGGGGCCCCCTGCCTATACTCTGTCTGTGGTCTTCTGTGCCCCTTCCCCCATTTTTAATTTTTTTGCATTTGGCAGGATTTAAATTTGAGAAACCATTTGCTGGGGCCCGGTGTCTGTCTGTCCCCGGTCTTTTGAAGTCCCGCCTGGTCCTCATAAAATTTAATTTCCTCATTAAATTCCATCATCTGCAAACAGGGCATTTGAGTCTAACCCTTGTCATGGGCGTTTACATATACCAAAAAAAAGGGACTTGGGCCAGGAACCCACCCTGTGGGACCCCCCTCTTTACAGGTGGCCCCCTGTGATACATATTACGTAAATGACCGTTTTTGCCCCCCTGGGCAGGTATTCTCCCGAAAACCCTTGCAGTGCCCTTTTCCCGTTATATGTGCCTGATGTTAGCTTCTGCATTATTTTGGGGGGGAAACTGTGTCAAAGGCCTTCTTGCCCGTCCCCAAAAAAAATGCCAAAACAACCCCCCCCTCTTTTTTCTTTTTCTTACTTCTGTTATTTTTTTCAAAAAACTCCCGAGGTTTGTACCAGGATTTGGGGGGGGCCCTTTCCCTGGGTTTCCCTGCTGGGTTTGGGAAATTTTTAATTTCCCGTTCCCTTCAGGTGCTCCCACTTCCTCCTGTAAACTTTTTCCCTATTTTTTCATACTATACACGTCAATGACAAGGTCTATAGTTTAGTGCCTCTTTTCTGTCTCCTTTTTTGAAAAAGGGAACTCCCTTTGCCCCTTCCATACCTAGGGGTTGCCCCGTTTTCCCGGGGATTATACAGCGCTAGGGGGGATGTGGGGCATTCCGGCTTAATTGGGGAATGGGGGCACAGATCCCAAAGTTTTAGGGTTTGGGTGTGAGGCGATGGAGAAAGAGGCACTTGTGCAATTTGGGAAAAGTTTATTTTTGGAAAAATTTTTTTCCCGCCTTTACTTCTTCGTCCCAAAACAAATAGCCGAGGAAAAAAAACAGCCCTCAGCCTTTGGAAACCGGGGGTTGAACCTTGGAAAATCAGTGTGCGAGGTAAGGGATTACCTTCCAAAAACCCATTTCAAACCCCCAATTTCCCAAAACTACATTTCTACTGAACAAGGAGAAAATGCTAATACACAGTAATATTGTAAAATTACAAGAGGCAAAAAATTTGGGTTTTAAAAATAACCAAAATGTGCAAATTTTACTCACTGAACATTGGGTCCCGTGGGTCCAGTTCCCGAATTAAACCTGAATGCCTTTTCCCCAAACCCCCCAGGCGCTTTTTATAATCCTCCGGGTTTTTGGCTTCCCCCTTTATTTTAATAAAAATAAAACTCACTGAAAAGGGCAGGGTTTGAATGCAAGGGGTGGGTTTCTAACCTAGTGACCTAGTATGCTATCCTAGGTACCATATTTATTTATTTTATGTCTTTGCAAACTGTACATTGAGATTTTGTATTTACAATAGTGGGTTGCAATGCAAAGAGAGCCTCTATTATGCCTAGACATTATGGGCCAACTTAACATTATTGGCTTACAGACTACTTAACACTAAGGATTACATCATTGTTGCACAGTAGGATAGTAATTATTTCATAGTAATTACAAATCTGAAACCAGAATTAACTCACAACATAAGTTTTTTAAGTTACAGAAACAATTACAGTGTTAGGTTAAAGGAATGACTTGACAACACGTGTTGTTAGAGTGTGAGATAAGATAAGATAAGATTTCGTTCGGATTTTTAACTCCGGAGGGTTAGCCACCCAGGATAACCCAAGAAAGTCAGTGCGTCATCGAGGACTGTCTAACTTATTTCCATTGGGGTCCTTAATCTTGTCCCCCAGGATGCGACCCACACCAGTCGACTAACACCCAGGTACCTATTTGCTGCTAGGTGAACAGGACAACAGGTGTAAGGAAACGTGTCGAAATGTTTCCACCCGCCGGGAATTGAACCCGGGACCTCCATGTGTGAAGCGGGAGCTTTAGCCACCAGGCCACCGGGAGATAATATTTATGAAGGGACTCAGGGAAACCGGGTAACTGGACTCGAGTCCTGGAGGTGAAAGTGCAGTCCTGCACTTTGAAGGGCAACTGTACGATCCGTGTGGATTTAGCACTTCATCATGATTATAACATGCAATCTGATGGTGTACCTAACATGTAATGTTTAAATTAAAGCTCTTTAATTGTGATTGCATAAAAATTGCAGAAATAAAAATGTACGATCATTTGTGCATAAACCATTAATATTCTTATTTATATGTTACTATTATTGCCCACCTCTCCTTCAGAGTGCAGGCACTCTGAAGGAGAGGTGGGGAATGTTGCAGTCTTGTGGGTCATCTCAACTGTTACATCAGTAGCTTCTGGCAAGACAGTGACAGACTGAATGACAATGAAAGTGTTTCTTTTGTCGGGTCACTCAGCCTCAGTGGGATTATTATTATTATGATCAAGGGGGAAGCGCTAAACCCGGCGGATTATACAGCGCTTGGGAGGGGGGGATGTGGAAGCCTCAGTGGGAGACACCAGGAGTGTTTAACAAAATTATGTATTGTAATTATTATTATTATTATTATTAATACTACCACTATTATTATTATTACTACTGCTACTACTACTATTATTATTATTATTATTATTATTATTATTATTATTATTATTATTATTATTATTACTGTTATTATTATTATTATTATTATTATTATTATTATTTTTTTATTATTTATTTATTGCTGTATAGCCCTTTTGGCTTAGCGCTTCTTTTGACCATAATAATAATAATAATAATAATTATTATTAATAATAATTATTATTATTATTAATGAGACATCAATGCACCTTAGGACTTTTATTAATTTTATAAAGTTAGTTAAAGTTTTAGCTCTGTTTCTCCTGCAGCTCCAGAAAATTTGATGCCGTAAACAAGTGTTGATATCCAAATTTTCTGCATTGTACGAGCCTGTGAGTTAAGTTTTTAAAGTTGATTTGAGTTTTCTCTGTATGATATACACTGACTTCTTTATTTTATAGTGATATATTACAGCTGACAGTGCTGGAGTAGCTGAGGAGGGATATATGTGAAGCGCAGGCGATAAAAAGTCGATTTATTTAATGTACTTTTGCTCTATAACGTTAAGTGCACGCGGTGAGGAGGTCGTGATCCGAGGAAGGGAAAATTTTAATTCCTTTGAATTAACTGACGCCCCCCAAATTCCTCCAAGGGCACTAAACACGGAGGTTTAGCGTTTCTGATTATTTAAAGGTACAGGTGCACATAAATACATTATAATCATAATGTGAATTAACTAGCATAATCCTAAAAGTCGGGAAGTGAGATTAGCTCCATAATGGTATAATAATCTAATGTAATAATCGTCACAACTGAAACAGTGCAGATAAGTATTTAGATCAGGTTATTGTGTGATAAATGTAGTTTATTCTGTAAAATGTCCAGTATTAAATGGGTTTTGCCATGAACTTTTTATTTTGTGCAATGGTAAAATGCAAAATAACCCAGCCTAAAATACCTATATAACTTAACCTAGCTTGTGTATGTGATTAGTATGTGTGTGTATAATGTTTGTCAGGAAACGAGTTTCCTGACATAGGTCCTAGTCATATGATGGCCCGCAGCTGGAGCTTTTGATTTTCTGACCGACGCCTAACGCTAACTTACCAGTCCACCCTTTTAAAAATTGTGGTTATGATTATTGGTAGAATATACAGTAGGACCCCGTATCCATGGGGGATACGTTCCAAGACCTGCCGCAGACACCTAAAACTTCAGATAGTAGTAAAAATCATGTTTAAGTAAGTTTTTTTTTTTACATACATACCTATGATGAAGTCTAATTGAAGTGATGAGAAGTATTTCACGAATTCTCATAGGCTTTGAAGAACTGTCATCATTACTACTTTTGCACTTTGGTGTCGTCATTAATCAAAATTAAGGGTTATTGTTGGCCCAGAGTAAATTGTGGATAACTTAAACTGCAGAAACGACCCATGGATACAGCGATCCTACTGTACCAATAAATATAATAAGAGACAATTTTCTTTAATGTCCATGTAAATAAGGTATGTAGTTTACTATATTCCTATTGTACCTCTTTTTACTGTAACTGATTTTCATGCAGTAGAGTTACTTGGTTGTTTTAATTTTTAAGGTTGTAATCATGACTGATTTCTATTGTATCTTATAGCTAAGCTTTAAACAATATTTCAAGGACTCTAGTGGAAATAAATGATTTTTTTTGTTATCGTAGGTAATTTACACATTACTATGTATGATAATTGTAAGCACCTGAATTTGTGTATCTGTACTTATGTGTACCTGTACCTACAGTTGATGGCATATCATTCACCAGAATCTTAATCACTTGCTGGTGAATGAAACTTTTTGTCAACAAAATGCCAATAACTGCAGATTGTTTTATCATACTTAACATACGCAACCATTAGTAGATACTGAAGTAGCATGTCTTTGTTTACATTCACTAATTGGCTGAAGCATGTCAGTTGACTCAATATGAATTGTTGATCGGCCATGACATAACATTCAAGCCAAAATAAAGGTATTTTGGTAATATCTTGTAAAATACAAATTTGCACAAGGAAAAATCTCAAAAAGACCAGATTTGGATATTAGCCCAAATGCCAAATATAATACTTACTCAGACATTCTAATGTAATAATCAATTTAACTAACCTATTTCACCCTTCTGATAAAATTTTAAGATGTTCTAAAAAATTTTATGTAAAGGTACTTTCTGATGTTGTGGAGAAGCAATCATTTAATTAGTGAGCACTTCAGTAATAAAACTTGGGACTTCAGGTGGGGATTTAACATTGTTGTGTACCAGTCTACCTGGTAATGGTTCCAAGAATCATTTGGTCCCTGACCAAGCCTCCTGGTTGACTTTCTAGTCAGTCGGACTGTTGGTGCTTCTGTCCCACAGAGGAACATATAGTCAAGTGTACAGAAGAACATAAACATAGAATAGAAGAGCACTGAAAAGAGCCTGCTCTGCAGGCATAGCGTTGAGGAAAGGTTCTAGTTACAGTACTTCTTTGTACTGTACTGCTGTTACAAGGTAGGGGGTTATGTGATACTGGCATATATAAATCACAGAACAGGTGGGGCTTGAATCTACAGTTGAGTCCTAAAGCTTTCAGGCCAGTGTGTGATTTGCTTGCAGTCATATTACGATTTTATGAGTCCGTGTTCTTTATGTTTTTTGTTTTGTTTTTTGTATTTTTTTGTGTGTTTTTGGATCACCTACCTCCTCCTAATGCAGAGGGAAAATTTTTTTTGACCCATTCAGGTCCACATACCACATCATTAACACATCTACATAGTGGCATGCTGACAAGAATTTTACTCAGTGACACCAAGCAGATATTTTTATATTAGAAAAATATTCTCTTTAAACAATTTTTCCTTTTCAAATTTTTGCCCCACATTGGGTAAGTGACAATGCTTTTGACAGTAATACAGCATATCTTTCCATTCTATAGGCCACTTGTGATTAGAGGCATTTGTATAAATTTCAGGGTACTGTAATGCCATGGCTGCCTCTGATTTTGCTTTCCGGATGTCTGAGGAAAATGTGCTTGAGAAGTTGGTAAAAGCCAAGGAATTTAAGCAGAATGGAAATAATCACTTCAAGCAGAAGGAGGTGAAGAAAGCTATTCAGAATTATCACAGGTAATTTTTGTTTTGTAAATTTGGCCAACTATAAATTTTATAAAAAATATTTTAATGGAAAAGAATAAATTGAATTGAATTTTTCACTCATACAAAATCAGTATGTATTGTATAAATCAGTAATTTCATATAATAGAATAAGGTATGAAGGTAATGAAAATTGTTTGGTCTCATATATGCAGCATTTTGGGAAAAAATTTCTTCAGAGGGGGAGGGTACCCTGAATACCACTGATATGCTCTTGATATAAGAAATTGGAGCTACCCTCCTTTAACTTGGATCAAACTTTGTTAACCTTCCATTCACTAGGTACTGTATGACTGCATTGAGCTTAGTACTTTCCCCATGAAAATATTATTAATAATTGAGAAATATTTAGGTCAAATAACTTATTAATATTTACTGTAACTTTGAGGTATATTACATTGAAATACACAAAATGCTACACTAAAGATTACCTTAAAATTTATAAATTGGTTTTGAATTGCTGTTCCATATTTATGTACTAAAATATAGGAAATGTAGGGTATTCAAATAAATTAGTAAATTAAAAAAATTTAAATGTGTTGGCTATTAAGGTTTTCACAAAGTGGCATCCACTGTACACTGAATTTTTCAAATGTAACTTGTAGTTTCTCATAAGGAATTATTTATTCCATAAATTACTAGCATAGGTTGGATTTTTCATGTAGATTTAAACAATGAATATTCTTTCTTGTAATGTGAACCCCATTCTTATACTGTGCAATATTTATTAATTACTGAATGAAAAATAGAGATGCAATACCATATGCATTTTTTTAACATTATGTAGTTAAGATTACAGTTTTAGGTTTTAGTTTTGACTAATGAATTACAGTACTATTATTGGAGTGCAGACAAATTGTTATTTATATTAACAATTATTACTTGATAGTGTGTACTGTACTCAGCAGAATGTTTACATGACTGATGCAGCAAGATTTACAGCATGACAAACTGTACCTGACGTAGAATTAGAAGTGTAGGTAGTGTACATACTGGGCGTAGGTAGTGTACATGCTGGGCGTAGGTAGTGTACATGCTGGGTGTAGGTAGTGTACATGCTGGGTGTAGGTAGTGTACATGCTGGGTGTAGGTAGTGTACATGCTGGGTGTAGGTAGTGTACATGCTGGGTGTAGGTAGTGTACATACTGGGCGTAGGTAGTGTACATGCTGGGCGTAGGTAGTGTACCTGCTGGGGTAGGTAGTGTACGTGCTGGGTGGTAGGTAGTTGTAATTACTGGGTGTAGGTAGTGTACATGCTGGGCGTAGGTAGTGTACATGCTGGGTGTAGGTAGTGTACATACTGGGCGTAGGTAGTGTACATGCTGGGCGTAGGTAGTGTACATGCTGGGCGTAGGTAGTGTACATGCTGGGCGTAGGTAGTGTACGTGCTGGGCGTAGGTAGTGTACGTGCTGGGCGTAGGTAGTGTACGTGCTGGGCGTAGGTAGTGTACGTGCTGGGCGTAGGTAGTGTACGTGCTGGGTGTAGGTAGTGTACATACTGGGCGTAGGTACTGTACATACTGGGCATAGGTACTGTACATACTGGGTGTAGGTAGTGTACATGCTGGGTGTAGGTAGTGTACATGCTGGGTGTAGGTAGTGTACATACTGGGCGTAGGTAGTGTACATGCTGGGTGTAGGTAGTGTACATACTGGGTGTATGCAGTGTACATACTGGGCATAGGCAGTGTACATACTGGGTGTAGGTAGTGTACATACTGGGCGTAGGCACTGCACATACTGGGCGTAGGCACTGCACATACTGGGCGTAGGTACTGCACATACTGGGCGTAGGCACTGCACATACTGGGCGTAGGTAGTGTACATACTGGGCGTAGGCACTGCATTTTACTGGGCTAGGCACTGTACATACTGGGTAGGTACTGTACATATGTCTGGCTGTACATAGGACTAGGTAATGTTACTGGGCGTAGGCACTGCACATATGTACTGGGCATAGGCACTGCACATATGTACTGGGCATAGGCACTGCACATGTGTACTGGGCGTAGGCACTGCACGTGTACTGGGCATAGGCACTGCACATGTGTACAGGGCATAGGCACTGCGCATGTGTACTAGGCGTAGGCACTGCACATGTGTACTGGGGGTGGGCACTGCACATGTGTACTGGGCGTGGGCACTGCGCATGTGTACTGGGCGTAGGCACTGTGCATGTGTACTGGGCGTAGGGACTGCGCATGTGTACTGGGCGTAGGCACTGCGCATGTGATGTGGGCGTAGGCACTGTGCATGTGTACTGGGCGTAGGCACTGCGCATGTGTACTGGGCATAGGCACTGTGCATGTGTACTGGGCGTAGGCACTGTGCATGTGTACTGGGCGTAGGCACTGCGCATGTGTACTGGGCGTAGGCACTGCGCATGTGTACTGGGCGCAGGCACTGTGCATGTGTACTGGGCACAGGCACTGCGCATGTGTACTGGGTGCAGGCACTGCGCATGTGTACTGGGCGCAGGCACTGTACATACTGGGTGGTTATAACTATACTGGAGTTCAGAAAGTCACACACAGTTAGTATTAAAAATAAACAATTCAGTTAATGCTAGCACAGTACAGTACATATGGCATGAATAGAAAATATTATCATTACTCTTAAAACTTTGTAATTAATACTTTATACTGTTTACTTATATTGATTTGTATAGTTGCTGAAATAGAAATTCTAACAGCATGTAGGATACACTGTACTTTTAAAGGTAAAAGGGAAGAAGATAAACTCTGGAAAATAGTGAACAAAAACAAGGCATAATCAAATCCTTATTCAAGTTTGTAAAAAAAAAAATACTGTTAAAAACAAAATACAAAGAATAAAAAATGAAGTCATTGAATTGGAGTAGGAAATGTTCAGAATACTAAACATGAAGTTCCAGGGCATATACAGAAGAAGACAAAAAATGTAATGGATGTGGACTCCAAACAGCCAACTAAATTGGAGAATCTTCAAACCTTCAAAGAGGAGATAAAGAAGCTGCAACCTCACGTCTCTATGCACAGATCATCTTTGCACAGGTTTTTTTTTTTCATATCAGGTTTTATTTTTTTTATTCTTATTCTTATCTATGTAATGTCTGCATGGGCAAGCCCTGAAAAGATGACATTTTATATAATGCTGTACTTATTATACTATTAAATATAGGCAAAATGTAATGTTATTGTTTCAGGGGGCTGATGTACGTGAAAGGAATGAACCAGGATATAAATCCCACTAAACTGCTTAGTAAAAGACAGTCTACTCCTGTTGTATCACAAGAAGTCAGAGATGAAATTGCAGCCCTTTCAGCTGATCTACACAATAATATTGCAGGTAATCTACTGTAATTGTCAGTGGTGTCAGTAGTCATTATTGTTGCTGTTATTATTATTATTCACAGGGAAGCATTACACTCTTATGGATCAATATAGCTCCTGATAAATGGGATTCAATGAGTTTGATCTCAGATAGTTATACATATATTGTCCAGACATAGACAATACATACAGTATATGTAGCTCTCAGCTATTTTGTGTGGCTGATTATATAATTACCTACCCACAATCACCCAAAATACCCAGAACTCTCATGTGGAGGTAGCAACTATCAGAAGCTATCTTGTATCCTTTTACAGAGAAAATCATGTTCTGAAGGTAAAAGGATACGACAGTACATTATTCCAGCCACAGTATTACAATATTACTCAGCACATCCTGCTTTCTTATACTAATTGTAACCTGTCAATTGCTTGTGCTGCTCTCTATTATTCACGTGTTCTGCTCTATTTTAGTCAGACACTTTTATTTGTGCAAAAATGTGCAGTATGCAGAAGTGTGCTGTGTACACCTAAAAAAAAATTGGAAACAATAGAAAAAGCATAAAAACAAGCTGCAATATGGCTTCCAGAGCTACAAGAAAGTTCAACTGAAAACATTAAACATGCTTCACTGGATCATAGACGAAGTACGTGTACAT